TGCTGCCTGACAGGTCCTCCCAGGGGAAACGCAAGACCAGAGTCCAAAAGAACACGGTGGACCCGACCTTTCAGGAGACCTTGAAGGTACTGCTGGCCAAGAATTTATGAGCTGAGTCCTCCCCACCCCAGGCTGGGGATGTGGGGTCAGAGTCAAAGGAACGGTTTTACAAAACTCTTGAGTCAGTTAAACTTAAGTGCAGACACCGATCTATTTCTGTGGGTCTCTGTCAATCAGTGGCTAGTTGGTAGGAAAGAAATTTCTGTCTTTATCCAGGAAAAAAAGTGCAGAGTCTGCTGTACTAAGAATGGCTTTTGATTAATGATTTCTGGGGAAATGGTGGAAAAGAGCCCACCTGCCTCTAACAGGCCAACAACTGGGCACAGGGAAATTTTGAAGACCATGTTGTTCTGTTAAATTTTTATGAGTACCAGAGAGGTATTCTCAGTAATGTGGACTACTAACCTGTTGCTATGGAGTTGATTCTGACTCATAGTGACCCCGCAGGACAGAGCAGAACTGCCCCATAGGGTTTCCAAGGCTGTAAATCTTTACAGAAGCAGCCTGACACATCTTCCTCCCGAGAAGCAGCTGGTGGGTTTAAACCTCCCACCTTCCGGTTAACAGCTGAGTGTTTAAGCACTGCACCACCAGGGCTCCTCTGGTGTGGACTACACTTACTGAGTCAATATCTTCTACAAAGCGCTCTATATTGTAATGCCTGGCGATCTCATTTTATGAACAAGGTTGTTATCAAGGTTTGTTCGCATTTTTCACTTTCTTGGGTGTTAAGAAGCATGACTTGTCTTAGGGCAGAAGTGGGGAAGGGCTGCATGACTCTCTGATTTAGGCAGAAAGCTGGAGTGGATGCCTGGCATGTGCGGATAGCTAGCTGGAGGGGACAACAGGCAGATGCATGGAGACTCCGGAGGAAGCTGGGCAGCCCAGGATCCCGGCATCTCAGCTGCAAAGGGAGAGGGCTGGGGCCTTTATTGGCGAGGTATATTTGGGAGCTCTGGGCCAGGGGCCTGCTAGCAGCCAGTGTAAGAGCCCTGAGTCTGTGAAATAACAGCACCACTGTTCCCTGTACTCCCCACAGTGGCCATATGCCTTCTGTACTCTTTTGGGCAGGTATTAGAATCCTCCATTTCCCAATGGGGAAACCGAGGCATAGAAGTACCCCTAAAGACTAGGTTTGCTGGTCTGATGGAACCTGGTGGAACCCT